AAATACATTTTTTGCTAAACGTCATATTGAAATACATAAAATTTTATTACTTGGGTATTTCTGGTTATCAAAAGCTTCTTATACAACAATAAAATTTTTAACAGGTTATTCACCACAAACTATAGTTAAATTTACAAAAATTTTTCATAAATTAGTAATAAATACTTTAACAAATAATGATGAAACTATAGGAGGTAATAGAGTAATAGTTGAGATTGATGAGAGTAAATTTAAAAAAGACAAAGATTTTTGGGTCGTAGGTATGAAAATATTAATTATAATTTATTAAATATTTAATTAATTACAAACTATTAGAGATTGTTAAATAAACTAATTAAAAAAAATAGAAGCAGTAGAAAGAACTATAGAAAAAAAATGCTTTTTTGAAATTGTAAAAAAACGTGATACTCCAACTTTAACTAAAATAATCAAAAAACATGTTGAACCTGGTACAACAATTTACTATGATTCATGGAAAGCATATTCAAATTTAGAAAAATTAAATATGAAACATAAACGTGTAAACCACTTACAAATTAATAGATCTCAATTAAAAAAGTGAATTTACACAAATCATATAGATAAATTATTATTTATATGATTCTATTAAGTTTGAGTGAAAATATAAATTTATTTTATAATATTTAAATTTATTATTTAGAAGGAACTTGGTAAAAATATATTATATTTTAATAATTTATTTATTTATTTTTATATTAATATTATTTAATATTTTTATTACTAGGTCTGGTTTAAAAAGAATTATTTTTTCTAAAAATAGAAATAAAGAAATTCTTGAACCATTTTTAAAAGAATTTTTATAGCGCCGAAAATACAGAGACAATCTTTGGAAAGAATTTTTGAATGCAATAAAACAAAATAAATTATAAATATTAAACATTATAACCATTTCTATTTTCTGAAATTTGATCATGTTTTGGTTTAAAATCTATTGCTTCTTGCTTAGTTTTAAAATATTTTACTTTTCGATTTTTTCTACTACCCCAATAAAAAATCTAATTATTATTTTTTTTATAAAATGAAATTCCATTAAATTTACTTGAGTTATTTTTTTGTAATTTACAATTTAAACTATTCTCTTTTGATATTGTTTTTCTAAGATTACATTTTCTATTATCAAGTCCGCAACGATTTTTATGATTAATCATCTCCCATTTTAGATTTAACATTTGATAAAATAATACATATTTATTTTTATTAATATAGGTTCTAATATAATATGTATTTCTATATTTCCAAGAATAAAACGTAAATTCTTTAAAAAAATAAAGTTATCAAGATCAGTTAAAAAAGTTAAATTAGAGTTTGTTGCTTTAATTTCAAGAAAAAGTGTAGCATCAATTTCTACAATTCGATATTTATTTGATTTTCTTCGTGGTCTAATAATTGGTTCTTTGGACCAACCAGACAAAACTTCATAGCTTGGAAATTTCTCTTGCCAATTTGAAGCCATTTTAATTTAATAAAAATTCTCTTTGTGTTTTTTTATAATTTTTTAATTTCCCTGAGTCGGAACTTTAAAAAATTTTTGTACAACTTAATAAATTATATAAATGCTAATTTGTTCACAAATATAATTTAAACAAAATGAAACGTAAAAATACTGTATCTGAAAACAAATCTAAAAAATTAAAAATCAAAAATGCTACTATCTATCCTCTTACATTAATCTTCAATTATATTGATGATCCCTTTGAATTTTGTAATACTTTTCTAGTGTGTAAAGAGTGAAAAAACATTTTTGATAATCATGTTTTTTGGAAAAATCTAATCAAACATCTTGAACTTGAAGACCCAAAACCAAAATCGAAGAAATATAAAACACATAAATCGATTTTTGTTAAAAATATTAACAAATTATGTTGGTGTAAAAAAAATATTAGAGAAGTTAATCAGGAGTTAAAAAAATTTGAAAGCAAATTTGATATTTTACAAAAATTTTGTAGTAATTGTATAGATTTTTATAAAACATGGGTTGAAAAAAAATATACCAGATCAGAAATTTATTATAATCTATGTGATTATATTAATGATAAAGTTTTTGATCTTTATTAGCAATGTGATTTTAAAAAGCGCTGCGAATTATGTGATAATGAACAAAAAATTTTAAATCAAGTTCAAAACTTATCAATGAAATTTATTGTAAAAAAAATAGTATTAAAAACTTTAGTAAATTTGTTGAAGAAAATCTTATTGTAGTAGTTGCTCGCAATTTATATAATATTTTAAATTATAAAGAGTATTTGTATATTGAAAATTTAGGGGGAGTAGTTAAACAACGAGCAAAAACAATCGAAGATTTATATCATTATTATTAAATATTAATAAATTCATATTTGATTTAATTTAAATAAATTTTTTGAAAATTATAGTTAATAACTATGCGCCGGCGGCTATAAAAATAAGTTTAGCTTGCTAAATGACACCCAAATCAGATGACTCAAAGTTATACTTATTTATAGTTATACTGTATATTAGTATTATTGAGTCGCCAGATTCAATGTTACCCTAAATAGGTACATTTTAATATAGAAATTCTCCGATTAACTGGCAGATCATCAATTAAAGTATAAATAATATCATAAATTCTGGCACAACTATATTAATATAAAAAGTAAAAAAATTTTATATATGATAATTTATTTTATTATATTTTTTTTAACCTTATCTTTTAAAAAGACAGTATATTATAATATTAAGTTATAAATATTAATTTTATATATTTATATTAAATATTTTTTATAATCAATTTTTTAGTTTATTAAATAGTATTAAATTTATTTTTTTATTAATTTATAAATTTTTCTATATATCTCTGGCCTTTCTAACTAATTAAAAAGCAAGAAGATCATATGACAAACATTCATATATTGATCCGACTATCGAACTTGTACATTGGATAAATCACATAAGTCGCATGAGTCATATGAGCGACAAAGTGACGAAGTGATGATTGGCAATCACATCATATGCTGTATATAAAAATTTTATTGTTTTCTATTTTTATACAGCTTGTGCTTTTAGTTGGTACTTCGGATTTTTTTTTTTTTTGTTTAGCTTAGTTTTTTTTTTTTCGCTAATTTTATATTTTTTCTGACAATTTGGAGCTATTTCTCTTTGACGTTTTGGAGCTGTTCTTTAATAGTTCTACCAGAGAGCAGCTCCAAAACGTCAAAGAGCTTTCTTTAAAAATTTTTTTTTAGCAGTTTTTTTTGTTTTCTCTAGTGGTTCTTTATGGTGGTTTGTTCTCTTTAGTCTTCTTTGACATTTTAGAATCATTCTCTGGTAGGTTTCTTTGGTATTTCTCTTTTGCAATTTGAAGCTGTTCTTTGATAGTTCTCTTCTAAGAAACTACGATTAATTTAGTTTCAGCTTTTAATAAATAAAATAGTTTCTTTGAGCTATTCTTTAGTAGCCATCTTTAAGGTTTAGAGCTATTCTTCGGTAATTCACTTTGGAGTTTTGGAACTGTTCTTCGATAATTCACTTTAGCGGTTTGAAGCTGAATTATTTTAGCGTTTTGAAGCTGTTCTTTAGTAAACCAACTTGGTGGTTTGGAATTGGTTAGTAATTCTGTTTGGCGTTTTGGAGCTGTCTGGTAAGTTTCTTAGAGATTTTTGAGTGTTTTTTGGTGATTTACTTTGACGTTTTGGAGCTATTCTTTGATAATTTTTTTTGTTAGTTTAGTTATAGCCTAAGAAACCTACTATTAACACAGCTTTTACTTCTATTAAATTAAACAGTTTCAGAGCTATTTTTCAGTAAATCACTTTGGCAATTTGGAGCTATTCTTTGGTAGATCACTTTGGCGTTTTGGAGCTATTCTTTGGTAAACCAACTTGGTGGTTTAGAATTAGTTGGTAATTCTGTTTGGTGTTTTGAAGCTGCCTGGTAGGTTTCTTGGAGATTCTTGAGCTGTTTTTTGGTAATTCATTTTGATGTTTTGGAGCTATTTTTTGATAATTTTTTCTGTCAGTTTAGTTTTAGCCTAAGAAGCCTACTATTAACACAGCTTTTACTTCTAATAAATTAAACCAAACAGTTTCTTTGGCGTTTTGGAGCTATTCTTTGGTAATTCACTAAAGCTGTTCTTTGATAAATCACTTTGGTGTTTTGGAGCTATTCTTTGGTAATTTACTGGAGCTATTCTTTGGTAAATCACTTCGGCGTTTAGGGCTATTCATTGATAAACCAACTTGGTAGTTTGGAATTGGTTAGTAATTCTGTTTGGTATTTTGGAGCTGTTATCTGGTAGGTTTTTTGAAGATTATTGAGTTGTCTTTGGTAATTCACTTTGGCATTTTGGATCTGTTCTTTGATAATTTTTTTTGTCAGTTTAGTTTTAGCCTAAGAAACCTACCACTAATACAGCTTTTGCTTCTATTAAATTAAACAGTTTCTTCGACGGTTCGGAGCCGTTCTTCAGTAATTCACTTTGGAGTTTTGGACTTCAGCAGTTTGGAGCTGTTCTTTGGTAAATCACTTCGGCGTTTTGGAGCTGTTCCAACTTGGTAGTTTGGTAATTCTATTTGGCGTTTTGGAGCTGTTATCTGGTAGGTTTCTTGAACTGTTTGGTAATTCACTTTGGTGGTTTGTAGCTGTTCTTTGGTAATTCTCTTCAGTTTGGTTTTTTCTAAAGAGCCTACTATTAATTCAGCTTTGCTTCTAATAAATCAAATAGCTTCTTCTGTGTCTTAGAGCTGTTTTTTGGTAATTCATTTTGGCATTTTGGAGCTATTCTTTGATAATTCACTTTGGAATTTTGGTGCTGTTCTTTGACAATTCACTTCAGCAATTTGGAGCTTTCTTTAGTAACCACCTTGTTAATTTGGAATTGTTCTTTAGTAATTCTGTTTGGCGTTTTGGAGCTGTTTTCTGGTTGGTTTCTTGGGATTCTTTGGTAATTCACTTCGGCATTTTGGGGCTGTTTTTCAATAATTCACTTTGGCAATTTGGAGCTGTTTTTTAGTAATTCTCTTTTGGGTTGGAGCTGTTCTTTTGTAATTATTTTTGGGTTTCAGAGTTGTTCTTTTGTAATTAATTATTTTCGGGACTTTGGAGTTGTTCTTTGGTAGTTTTTTTTATTGCAATAAAAAAAAAATTATTTAAATACCATACTGAGTGTAAATTTTGACATCAAATATTAAGTATATTATGTGATACAGTATATGTATGTACATAGTTAGCTGGACAAGATAGTTCTAGGTTTTTCTACAAATACCTAACCAACCTTAATGAAGATTTTTTATTGAATTCTATAAATTCATAGAATTCAAATAAAAAAACTTTCATCGAACTTGGTTAGGTGGTTACAGAGATACCTTCACTAAAAGTTAGAGAAAAGTCAAAACACCTATCAAAATAGAAGCTATGCCGATTTTTGTAAAAAATTTGAGCAAAGATATCTCCGTAATTACCTGACCAATTCGATGAAAATTTTTTTATTTGAATTTTATAAATCTACAAAATTTAAATAAAAATTTTCTTCAAACTTGGTCAGGTAGTTACAAAGATACCTTTGCTAAAAGTTAAAAAAAAGTATCAAAATAGAAGCTATGCTGATTTCTGTAAAAAATTAAGTGAAGATATCTCTACAACCACTTGATCAAATTCACTGAAAATTTTTTTATTTGAATTCTATGAATCCATAGAAT